CCCTGTTTGCTTCTTGTTGATCGCTGTATGAAGAAATGACAGGAAACTAGATATGAGTAGATGTTGATAAAAAAACAAAACGACTCTCAAGAAATATGGAACAAAATAGTCTCACTTGATGCTTTTCTTCTTTGTAGTTTCATATTCAGAGTTCTGGCAATGTTCTTGAAACTTCGAAACTCCAAACTCAACCATGATAAGAATGCTACAATGGTCTAAATTCTAAACTTCACACGCCCATTTACTTCGCAACCTCCCACTACTTCATCTACCGAAATGGTTGGGCAGATCTAATGTCTTCTAGCATGAAACCAGCTCATGATCCTTAGGAGTACTCAATTGTAACTTGGTTAGGTCGTTTCATTAGGTTCATGAGGAGTTACAGGCGGCAAACATGAGAACATGCATTATGTCAATCACAAATCTGCTGTTGGGGCTCTTGCGATGCACGTGATACGTCTGGCTCTTTAAATTTCTCTTGTTGATATACAAGCCGACTAATCTAACAGTATGGGAAATCTTGGAAAGAGGAGTAGGCATTCTGGGGGGTATAGGCCCGACACACGAAGCAAGAGGAAATTGGTACCCGCAAGGCTGGCGAAGTTGGCAAAAGAAGCAGGCAAAGTAGAGGCAGCAGTTGCGGGTTCAGGCGTGGCTAAATCAATATCCTCGTATGGGGTTGGTAGAGTTGGTAGGAAGCACAGTTGGCGATAAGATGGTATTGGTTTCATTCTTTCTAATAAGGAAATCTCTCTTCCCGGAACTGGTCAATCAAATAGACTAACAATATAGGCACTCATTGACACAGTTCTGTAAATGGGAGATGTCTCATCCGGTTAAGCTGTCGCAATCAATCTTTCTCTATTTGGTAGTAGTAAAAATGGGAGATCCAACATTACTTGATTAAGCCTTGAGAAATCAAGGTTAAGCAAGTGCTTTGCCAGAAAGCAAATAGGAGCTCGTATTTAAATCAGAGTACACTCATCCCGGGCAGGCGAAAGGGGCTTCGGGTGGAAGGAATTAATCAAGTAAAGTGCGAATGAAAATTGTTTGAATGATCTATTTCTTAGCTCCGCTACTCTACTGACTTAGCCTTTCTTTTGTTTTCGTATAATGAGAATACAGATAAAGAGTATGCCCAAATAGAGTAGGAATTTCTTAGTGTTTCATAGGTGCAATCAATTAAGAAATTAGGGAATTGGGGCTTTCGCTTTCTTTTCATGGATGTTGTTCTGAGTGCACCACATGATTTTTGTTTCGCTTTGCACCTCTGTTTGAGAAAAGAAAGCTAGCTACTGCTAGAAACTAGACTGTTGTAGTGGGCGGTAGTTGGAAACACAATACCGACAGAAGCAATCCCCAAGCATTATTTTAAAGCACATTAGTCTTAGTGTGAAACACAAGCCAATAGAAAGAAAGGGGTGCAATAGGTCACTATAGGAACATGAACCCTCTAGACACTTCCTATTAGGCCTAGAAAAAGAAAGTAAAAGGGGAATTCCAATTACAGACTTATAGTAGGAATAGGCCCATGCAAAAGAAGTCTATCAGGAAAAGGAAGTCAAAGAGGGCAGTTAGCCGCTCAAGCCAATCTTTCTTGTTTTTTTCATATTCAGAGGATTTTACATAGAGTTTTATTGAACGCTTCTTTCTCGGCGACGTAGTATCTTGAATAAAGGTTTAGCTTGATATCGATTTGTAATGACACATCACCACCATCTTACAAAATTTTCATTTCATTCTAAGCGGTACTATATCACACAATAGGCCCGAAGCATTCCTCCACTTCAACTAACCAACTTGAATTCTACTAATAACGTCCCCATCCATATTACCATCACTTTAAACATGATACTCGTGATATCTAAAGCATTCACCTTTTAATAGTGACCATCTTTACAATTCTGCTACTAGAGCTACTATTGCTAAAATTACATTCCACGTATTCAGTTTTAGACCTACTCAAAGAAAGGCCTTTAGAGTCCATCTATAATTCAAGTTCTTTCTGAATTCTTTCTCTAGTCTTATCCACAAGAAGGATATCACTAGTGAAAAGCATACGCTAAGACACATCCTTATGTAAAGGCCCAGTAAGAGCATCCATAACTAAAGCAAAAGGATATGGGCTTAAGGCCGATCCCTGATGTAATCCAACTGAAATAGAAAAATATTTGGTCAATCCTCCTTCCGTTCGAATACAAGTAACTCTAGTATACATATCTTTAATCACTTGAATATAAGTCATATCAGCGTTTTTCTTCTGTAGAACTCTCCAAAGGATATCTTTTAGAATCTTATCGTAAGTTTTTTCTAAATCAATAAAAATCATATGTAGATCCTCTTTATTCGCTATGAACTTCTCCACATCAAACCTCTCAATAAATGCATAGCTTCCATAGTAGACCTGTCGAGCATAAATCCAAATTGATTATGAGAAATCCTTGTAATAGGTCTTAAACTGATTTCAATTACCCTCTCATAATTTTAAACTATGACACATCAACTTAATTCCTCTATAATTTGTGTGCATCCCCTCTATTCTTAAAAATGAGGACCAAAATACTCTTTCTCCACTCCTTAGGCATATTTTTAGTCTTTAAAATAATATTAAATAGATTAATAAGCCAAGAAACTCTCAAATGTTCTATATATTTCCACACTTCAATTGAGATATTATCAAGTCCTACAGACTTTCCACCATTGGTATTCTTTAAAGCCTCAACTTCTTTTTCACTAAGGTGAAAATAAAAATGAAATATTTTATTATTATTAATGATATTAAGATCAGTAAGATCGATCGTATTTTCAAAAACTTCATTAAAAGGTTTATCAAAATAACTTACCCACCTATGTTGAATATCTTTATCTAAAAAAAATACTTTTTTATTTTCATCTTTAATACACTTTACTTGAGTTAAATCATTACTTTTCTTTATCTTTGTTTGGCTAGTTTATATATATATTTTTCATTATCTTTAGTACATAATCTATTATAAATATCGCTAAAAGCATAATTTTGAGCATCACAGATTGTTCTCTTAAGACTTCCTACGGGCCGTTTTTATATTTTTCCCAGCTCTTTAAGCTTTTACGTTTAAACCAATGTTTATAACATAACTTCTTATATTTTATCTTTCCTCGTACATTATTATTCCACCACTAACTACTTTTATTTATAAAAAAATTTTCTTTTTGATTCTCCAATTACATCTTTTGTCACTTGTTAATAGTGTTTGTTACTTTATCAAACAGAGAATTTTTTCTTCATGAACATCCCAAATCTTGAAATCTTGAAGTTTACTCATAAAAATAATTTTAATTTTATCTTTTAGGTGCCCCCATCTAATTCTACTACAAAGATACCTAGTATTTTTTATTTTACAACTCTTTATCTTAAAATCTAGAACTAATAATCGATATTAAATACTTAAATTCTCACTTAGAATGACCTTACAGTCTTCACATTCAGGACTATCTCTTCTTCTCATAAAAAAATAATCAATTTTTGTTTTATTAGATCCATTCTTATAAGTAATAAAAAATTTCTCTTTTCTTGAATAAAGTATTAATAATAACAAAATCATACGCTAAAGCAAAATCTAATATGACTCTACCTTCCTCATTAATCACTCCAAAACCGTAATCATTATGAATGTTTCTAAAATCTTCTACTACTCTACCTACGTGTCCATTTAAATCTCATTCAATAAATTTTTTTCCTTCAAGAAGTATCATTTATAATGTCTTCTAAGTCATTCCAGAATTTTCCTTTAGAACCTATATCTAAACCTACTTGAGGAGCATAAACACTTATAATTTTAAAAATATTAATATCAACAGCAGTCTTAAGAGGCACAATTCTATCTCCATTTTTACTAATTTTTACAACATTATCTTTCAAACTCTTATCTATAATTACACCTACACCATTTCTAGTGCGACTTTACCTGAATACCAAAGTTTAAAACCTAAGCTATCAATCTCTTTAGTCTTTTTTCCAACCCATTTAGTTTCTTGAACATATGAGATATTTATCTTTCTATGAATCATAATATCAACTAATTTCATTAATTTACTTGTGAGAGTAACCATATTCCAAGATCATATCCTAATATTAGTTTCACGGAAAAACAACTTTATCTGTATCCATCTGTAATGTGAGAACCCTTATTTGACACTACACACATGCGCCGGTGTAGCGTCCCTTGCACACTTTTCATTGTATTCAAGTCACGCAGTGTGTCGCTTCTAAGAGACGCCTTAACATTTACAAAATAATCAAAAGGATTCATGTCATGTTTTTTTCAACAAATTTTGTCATATCTAACACTAACCCAATTCAATTTATTGAGAAGATTTGAATTTGACTCAAAATTTAAGCGAGTTTCAATTTTTTAATTTCAAATAAAATTGCCACTTATACATAAAACATATGCATGGATGAGGTTTCACCATTTTTGAAACTGCCTGAACAACTACTTTCATGGCAATTCAAACAATTTTTCCAAACAACCTAGAGTTGGGAGAGTTGGGCCTGCATTAAATCACCAACTAATGCAAGTTTACATAAAAGTACGATAGAACCACAATAAAGGTAGGAAACATGTGCCACATTAAAGTATATATATCCAACTATCCATTTTTTTTACTGTTAGCACGCCAAGCTAAAAGTTCTATTTGAACAGATCAACATATCATATGATGTAATGCCGCCTAAAAATAAAAGTGGTTGAGTAACGGAACATTCCAAATTAATTTGGTAAGAAAAATCCTTTCAACCACTTATTGAAGTGGTAGAATCATAGCTCTACATGTACAATAGAGAAGTCTAAATTTCTAACTAGAAAATCATAACTGATAAACTAGAGAAACAGTTGATTTAAGGAATGTTTCTGGAACATCATGTGAAGAGAAAATCAAGCATAACAATCATAAAAGCATCAAAATACCATCCCGCAAGCATGAACAAATTGTACACTAAAACTGAAATCCGCTTTTACCTCAGGCTCATTAAGATCCACGTTGTTGCCCGTTTGGGCATGATTCCCCTGAGTAGCAGCAGAGACCACATTCCTGACTACGTTAACAAGTTCTGGAGGAATAGCAGAGCTGTCAAAGGTAATTGGAAAGGACGCAAAAGAGCTGCTACTACTGGTAGAATCTCCCATTTTGGCATTTGAATCTTGCCGGTGTCTTGACTCAGTGTTCTAAGAAAATTAAAATGAAACAAACCACAGTAAAACAAAGATGATCAGAAAAGAACTGCAAGCATGAATATTCATGATTGGGCAAACAAAATAAACCATCAGCTGCAAATCTGAATTACATGCTATTAATAAGATGAAATGATGACACCTAATTGAAAAAAAATATAAATATTATAATTACCTGTTCAGTGTCAAATGTTGAGCTTTCAACCAGTTTCTGTTGGGCTGCCTGCAATTTTGACTTAAAAATAAATTACATTGAGAGGCAACCACAATATTGGAATGAGCAGCAAGCAGTAGAATGCAACTAATCAAAGGGAATAGCAGAAGAAAATATACATTCTTAAATTGTTTTCAATTCCACCGTACCCTGATGTTTTCTTTGATAGACTCATTATTCGGGTCCAACTGAAAAGCTGCAAAAATGTAAAACAAGTTAGGGTCACAAAGTCATTCTGTGAAGTGCCAAATATAAAGCAGTCACATCAGTCTGTCCAACTAATCCTAAGAAGATGGCAGCATATATGATGAAAAACAACACAAAGCAATAAAATGTAAAAACTCTATTACAATATAAATTATCACATTCTCACATCTAATGCGGCAACAAATTGCTTTTCAATGTTAAACTCAGATAATATCATCTGATGTCAATTCTAGTTTACATTATCTTTGCAAATCGATTATAAACATCATATTAAAAAATGCTTGCATCTTGATCATTACATAATAACATGACACCACAGATCATTACAATGTAATCATATCTTTCTAAACCATTTCAAACTATTCTCTTTGATCTTCAACCCGATTGAGTACCTAAATTTTCTAAATGCTGAGTTCTTGAACAGGACACGCCCATATATAAACTCTTTATTTGATCATTTTTCACTAGCCGGCAATCCTTGTATTATAAGGATGGTAGAACAGAGTAGCAAATTCCACAACCGAAAGCAAAACATTACAGACGAAATAGTTTACAAAAAGGGTACCAAACTAATTGTTAGTTCATATAATAACGTAAATAAAATAAAAATGTGATCTCCAATGATCCCTAAATTAATTTCAGGTGAAATAGATAACTAAAGCAAAGTACTTCATGCTGTATTAAGCTTCCATGAGCATCCTATAAAAAAAATAAAGATACCTCTTAAGAAGCCCTTCTCTAATGCTTCAGCATAATTTCCTCGATTATAATAAGCCAGACCAAGGCGACTGTATGCCTTGCTGTAAGTTGGGTCAATTTCAATGGACTTCAAGCAATCTTCAATAGCTTCAATATATTTCTCCATCTGAGTGTAAGCAGCAGCCCTGAATGGTTAGGCTTTAGCATCCAGCCATCCAATTGTAAATTTCAAAGCAAGTGAAAAGCTAGTGATATAAGCAGCAAAGAATGAACTTTATGAGATGTTTAAGGAAACACAAATTTCTACAAAAAAAAAAGAAATAAATAACTTCAATGTATGAGTCAAACATAGCAACCCAGCATATTCCAGTGAGCTAGGCTCCCACTAGAAACAACATACTGAATAATCCAATTCAAAAAAATTTCCCCTTTTTATTGCTTTCATTGTTATATGTTATCTCTAAAAGTGGAGACTAACCTCAAAAAGATTGTCCAAGGAAATAATGGAAATCAAGCGCCAAAACAGGGTTCAGTTCTATGAGCAATAACATGATTTTGACATTGAGTAGTTATCTGTATCATAGTCACAGTTAAGGACACGGAAAACAGTGCACAAGGGAAAAAAAAAAGATGACAAAAAAAAGCAACAAAAAGAGAGAGAAGAGGCAAAGTTGAGTGTGTGAAAAAGAGGGCGCCTAAACCTACAGATATTAGCACATTTATCTGCGCTGAGCCTTTCAAATAATTAGATTACTGCCAATATGACGTGAAAGGTATCAAATAGCTTACAAGTTGATATGTAGGATATGAGCGTACGAGATAACTCCAAATTTATACACATCTTAATAATTTAAAATTATCACCAATCAACAACAACAACAACAACAAGACTTTATCCCACCAAGTGGGGTTGGCTACATGAATTCTTTTTCTCCATTGCGTCCTTTTGAGTGTCATATTTTCATTTACTTCTAATAAATTAAGATCATTTTTTATACAATATGCCCAAGTGTTTCTAGGTTTACCATTATCTTTCTTAACATAAGTCGAATCTAAAACATCTATTCTCCTAACTGAATCATCAGATGGTCGACGTTTAATGTGACCAAACTATCTAAGACGACTCTATCTAATTTTGTTTGCCATTGGAGCTACACCAACCCTATCATGGATATAATCATTTCACAATTCGTCTCCAAGTATAAAGCCACTCATCCACCTAAGCATTCTCATCTCCGCAACACTTAACTTAGTATAATGCTTTTCTTTTAAAGACCAACATTCAACGCCATAGAGCATTGCAAGTCTCACCACCATCTAATAAAATTTTACTTTCAGTCTAAACGGTACTTTTCTGTCACACAATAGGCCTGAAGCATTCCTCCACTTCAACCAACAAACTTGAATTCTACAAATAACATCCCCATCTATATCACTATCACTTTAAACAATAGACCCAAGATATGTAAAGCATTCACACCTTTTAATAATTTGATCAACCATATAGTTACAACTCTGTCACTAGAGCTACTACTACTAAAATTGCATTCCATGTATTTAGTTTTCTATTGATTATCACCAATCAATAGAAAAAAAATTTTGTGCAATCTTGATCAACATAAAAAGAGTACAAAATTGGGCACATACTTCAGTTGGAAAAGCAATGTAGTCTAGGAAGAAACAAGTCCATCTTTACAAAGTATTCCTATCAGACAAATAAACTAGGCAAATAATGAGAGCTGGAAAAAGAAACCTCAAAAAAGAAAAGAAATTTAAGCAGTTAAGTTATTGCAAAAGGACTTGCAATTACGATTGAAATGATTAAGAAAAGATCAAGTAAACAACGAGAGCTGAATAATCAAGCACCATTAAATAGTGATGACCCTGTCCCAAACAAAGATTTAGAATAGTGCTTAATAGCCAAAACGAGAAGCATCAGAAGCCACTGACGCGCCCCAAAAAACCTTCAATGTTTAAGACAGCTCATAGATAACTCACAAACCTATCGAACTTGCAATCTAAAGTTTTCTGCCAAAAATGTTAAGCACTAGTGCTGGCTCAAACATCCACTAGGCATCAGACCAGGCGAGTCTGTTGCAAGCCATCCTCATCTCCGGCATAAGCGAACCCTCGCATCCATCACAATGCCTCATGTGGCCTTTACATAGCACATGTCTCCTTATTGCAACGTCAGTGTGCACTCCCACATGCAAGTATGTTGTTCAGCAAGAGTGTTCCATGATTGCATTGTTTTCATCAAGCGCTCCTAGGTTTTTCATCTCATGCATGTATGTGGTTCACGTCTCTAAAGTTGTGGATTATGGCTCACCTTCCCTTCTCTCCCACCGCATTTTGGAGGCTCAATGTGGGTTGTCACTGATGCTAAAGTCATAAGGTGTCGGCATCTCATTTGCTCTTGGTACCTCTGGCACCGACGACGGCACTCATTTTAATGTTACCTTCAGTTTTTTCATAGGATGTGGAATGTGTTTTTCTCTCACATTCATTATTGTGCTTGTCTCTTATGTTGGTCCTATGGGGGGATCTTTTGTCATTCCAATTTCTTTAGTTCCTAATCATGCATTGGAGTCTCATCAGATCCCAACTCCCGCATCGACTACTTCCATGATTTTGGTTGACCACCTAGTGAAGTTGCCGCCTCCATCATAGGCGGCCACTGACTTTTTTAAAATATATCCTCTTTTATTCTATCCGGAGATTTATGAACCTTCTGCCACACAGCTCCTACAAGCATTTATTAATTTTGTTCGTGTTTGCTAGTTTTCAACCCTCTCCATCCAATAACTTTTTTTTTTCAAAATGCTTCAACAACACTCCAACAAAATAGCTTTCACCTTAGCAACTCCGCTCTCCTCTTCATTGATAAGGAGATTTATGTACTTGATAAGCAACTCACCCTCTCAATTATCAGCAAATATTCTATGGGTCATCTCAACAAGGAAATAAGTTGTGGATTTATGTCTAATTTACATATAATGGGTCCTTTGAGCTCCATCATCATGATACCTTCCTTTAAAGTGCATTACACATAACTTCTCTCAGAATCTCATATTATATCAATAGCTTCCCAATGAGAATCTAAAATGGTCCCCCATTTTAATAGCTCTATGAAAGCACATGATAATCCTATTTGGATTTCACTTTCGTTTCCTTATATGTGTTACTTAAACTAGTCGTGGCTCCTATTTTTGGAAAACCTTCGCACCCAAATATCATGATAGCCAGTCTTTCTAGGTCTTATGTGGCTTAAATATTGATGGAATTAGACGTTAGATCTCATTTTAATAAGATATGGATTGGGTCCCCATCCTTTGGGTATTGACAAAATGTAAAATGTAAAAACATCCCATCATACTGCTAGTGCATATTTATTAGTGTAACTTCTCATACTACTTCAAGGCTCATTTTGAGTTGTAGAATTCTAAATATCAGATGCATGACCGTCCACCAAAAACGCATATTCAACCTGCTAACCAGTTGGGAGAAGATCCTCATTCATTAGTTCAGGTATGTTCCCAAAACGTGAATCCATTTTCAAACAAATAGTGGCTAATATGCTTGCACCTACTAAGCCCTTGGTATTGGCCATTTTGTCAACTGATATTATCGCTGAAAATAAGCCTTGAGATATTGATACACCTCAGCTTCATCATACTTATGAACACGATGACATTAATATATCTCGACAACCATCTGATTCAAATTAGAGCATCAAAAATGTTGCTTTTACGGTGGATAGAAGATTTCATATTCATAGTATCATGGAAGACAAAAATTAGAAGAAACATTATCAGCGCTCATCTAAATTTGCCAGAGCTAAAGCTAGATAATCCAAAGGGGCCATTTTATGATTTTTATGATCCATTAGATATTTCATCCTTGGTTCTCTGTATATATATATATATATTGTCCCTTTTCCCTTTTCTCTAGCAATTCTTGGTAAATAACCTTGTTGTACTGATTTCATCGCCTATTTAAAATATTTTGCTTTTGAAAAAAAATGCATCACATTAAGTAGAGATAAAAAAATATGTATGTTCCAGCAAGTTGAAAACCTAGTACTCTCATACATGCAAATTTCATTGCATCTCAAAAGAGGTGCATTATAATAAACACCAACAGGAGCCCAGAAAATCTTCTTAAGCCTCCAATGAAAGCTGGTAATCAGTACAAATTTTGAGGTACTAGCGCTTTATAAAAAAAAAAAACCCTTCTATTCCATCACCACAATTGTACCAAAGCGCCAAGTTTTCATGGATCTCATGAGGTTGTATTATCATTATATCAGTAATTGTCTATAGAATACACATAGAAACCATGCCTGAGCGGTAATGCCAATTGTATCAACTTATTACACTACTTGTCTCAAAAATTCAAAATCAGCACAGATGTCACCATCCTTTATTATCTATTAAGTTATATTAAGACATTCTCCTTATGATGAGAGAATTACAGGGAGACTGAGGAGACTTCATCTGGCACACGGAAGAAAGATGAAGGTAGCAAAAGAAAGAAAACTGAAAGCAACAAGCAAACAAAATATGGCATCTACTGAGTTCCATCAAAATATTCTCTAAATGTTAGTATACTAAGAATAACAAGGCTAATAACAATTTGATGACTAAAGGGGCGGCTATAACTTCTTGTAAAAATAGTTGTCGAATTGTTGTTATAAAATAGATTTTTTGCAAATAACCCTTGGAGCTAATATTAGAAATTTGTTTTTTTTTTAAAGAAGTCAGGCAACAATTTTGATAACTACCACACTCTAGTAGAATTTGTTTGGTTGTAACAAGCTACTTCTCACCACAGGAATTTCTATAAATAGTAGGAACAGTGTAGCCAAACAGAGGTGTTATAATGGTCTTAAAACAAAGCAACAACCAAAAAACACTACCACAAATAGACCCCAAGTCTTCTAGTAAGTAACCAGAATATGACAGCAAAAGAAAACCGAAAAAGAAACAAGCAAAGAATAAGAATATCAGATTGACAAGGTGAGTAAAACAGAGAAGATGGATGAATTTCCATTATACCATTTCTCATCATGCCAAATAAAAGCAAATAGTGTAAATGGCACAAGCACAAAAATCAGTGCATGTTTCTACGCCTAAAATGCTTATGTTGAACTGTCAATTGCTTTCAGTATGCTTGAATATGTCACACCTGTTACAGTAGTAAACAGCATTTTTCTCATGGAGGGCTATGGCAAAGGTATATAGTTCAACAGCATCAGAGTACAACTTCAACTTCATAGAAAGATTACCTAATAATACAATCAAAATAGCATATTGCAGTAAATAGCAGAACAAGTCAACAACTGAATAAAAAGGCTACAAAAAAGACATGAAAGGTAAATCATTTCAAAAAAAAAACTCTGTAAATAATCCAAACATGAAGTAGAACATTGTTAAAATCATTGGCAAGTAATATTGAAGTGAACATTCTATAAACATACCAAACATCCCAGAGCGTAGTTGTCAGCCTCAATCCAAGACAACAGAGAGAAACGATGAAACAGATAAAAAGGAATCAGTTGTTGCATACCTTTAGCTTTGAAGGTTTCAGCAAGGCTGATAAGATTCATTATTTCTCCTTCAGAATTTTCAATCTCCTAATAATATGAAATACCTCATGTTTAATAAATACAAGTTAAATATATCAAAATTTCAATATTATAGAGGCACAAAGGTAAAACTCCTAAGTTGAAAATTATAAAAAAGGCAAAGCAATCGGGCTCATAAATATAATGTTAGAAATCTACAGAAAGTCTGAGAAAAACGCTCAAACTCTAACTAGAGCATGAAGTGGCTCTTCTGGTGAGTCAGACGTTGCAGTATTAATCAATGGCCAATAGTCAAAGGTATAATCCAATGGGATATGCATTTAATCTAGCTAAACTTCCATTATAGAAAAGGACGCTAACAACAACAAAAGGAGCGTATCATGCATCTTCATACACAATCTTTAAAGTAAATCACCTTAAAAAACAGTGTCAATTTTTCCTCAACCGCTTGTCATTGGAAGATATGCTGTTACATATACCACGCAACAACTAATATTAAATCACCAAATAATAATGTTCATTGATAAGAATGCCTTAATCAAACCCTACATGGCCTAAAAAATTTGACGGCAGACAAAATTTTGGTGATGTCAGCAAAATGTCAGAAGCTTATTGCGATCACAATTATCTTATACTAAAAAAGAAAAATAAGCATAAAGCACCTACTAAAATAGGGTCTGGGAAGTAATTATTGCATGCAACCTTACACTTGCATTTACAGTGAGGTTGCCTTCATATAATATCATAATTATATTGTTTAACCAAAAAAGGAAAGGAAAATAAGAGCGAAGTCGTACTTTTATTGTATCATGAAAAAGCTGTGTTGCTTTTGCTACCCTCAGAGGGTCCTCGATTTCTCCAGATGTTGAAAAAAAATTAATTTTGTCAAGTGCAGCGTAAAACTTCACAAACAGCTCATCTCTTAAATCTCCTCCTAAAAAATAAGCATGGTACTATCAATACATTATCAGTGTTTCTTACATAATCTCCTTCATCAATGGTCAAGTCAAGCCAATAGAAGTGAAGAACATAAGAGTCTTTATCATGCATTATTTTCCGGGCAAGCTGAAGAAATAAATCTATTAGGATAATCATTCTCCTAATTAAGTATATTAAATGAAGGGCTAAAAACAGAGTAGCACAGACAACATTCAACAAAATGAAGCAGTATAACACTAACAAAGGCCAAAGAAATGCAATGCAACTTCTTTCTATTAGCACCCTACAAGAACAAGTATAGAAATCGCCAGGAAGAGATAATGGCTCTGGCATATCCAGATGGCAAGAGAAAAATAAATAAATAAAAATATATTATATTTTTTAAAATTTTAATATTTTAAATATTGATGTGCTAGTATCATCCTCTTGTCAGCTACATTCAAGTAAGCCAAAGCATCATTTGATCACCTTTGGCCAGATGAAACAAATAAAAAATTGTCATGGCCTCCTCACTAATGCCATAGTTTGAGGGCCAAATGTGCCCAAACGAAATCTTTATTATTTGTTAATTAGCAGAGAAACACAAACCTTTTTATAAGTTTTCTTCTCACACCTGGCTCTAACTCAAAATATTTGAGTTTAGCTTGAGCAAGACTTGCTCGAAATCGAAGTACAATTCAAGTCTATATGAAGACATTTTTAGCAAACTTGAATTAATATGAGCCAATTAAAAGTCTAAAATTTTCAAAATAGGCAGCAAATGTTGATTGCAAAACTCAAAACTTGAGACATTTTAAAATTAAATAAAAACCTTAAACTAAATTAAGACAATAAACTACTCCAACCAATGTTTTAGACAAGAAATAGACTCAAGCACCATTTTAGAATCCAACTCATAACACAACTCAACATTTTAAGTCAATTTTGAATTGACTCAAAACTTCAGTTAAGTACAAGTTTCAAGGAAAATTATCAGCCTAATCACTAAAAAGTGCACCGCGTAATGAATTTATTTCTTTATACATCTTCATCATTTTCTTTTTCACCACCTCTTTTCAGAGAACAAAGTAACCCCTTTCAGTCCCACTTTTCACATCTTGCAGATCAATTTTTTGCATGCTCCTCTGTCTCCACTCCTTTATTGCAGAGGGAAAAAAATGAGCATTTGCAGTGTACTTCTCAAATATTGATTTCAACTTCTTGCACCTTTTCTTCTTCATTTCTTGAGTCATATATCCTATAAAGTGTCCTTAATAAAATATTCCATCAGTTCATATTAATGTTATTTAATCTGTTTGATTTGCATGAAATGCATATACAATGAACTGCCTTGTTTATAACAAGCTATTTCTACCCAGAAATATGAAAATTTTTCTTTCTATTAAGAAATTTACTTCATAAAATATTTGTAGTTCAATAATAGTTTTTAAGTACCATACATTTTAAATGAGAACTGTTTACATTTGGGTAAAAATACTGCAATTGTCCACATCTTAAGTTAATGTTTGGCCAAATATTCCGCAATAATTAAAAAAAATATGTTATATTTTCAAAACTTAGTGTTCTCTGCAGAAAAGGCAAGCATGGCACCGTGCATTCACCTAAAATGACTTTGAGCTGCAGTTCCGTGACAGAATTTTCGCCTCAGCAAATATGGCTACTTTGTGCTGCTAAACAAGGATTGCAAGCAATCAGCACAAAAGTTCACTGAAGAAAACACAGAATATTTTCTTCAGTATTTGTGATGGAAAGGAAGTTAAGGATCATAATAAATTATCCAATGCCAGATTCTAGTAGTTCAGCAAGAATGAACAAAAAACAAACAATAGGCTTAAAACTAAATTAGCTTAATGTTGATGGCCAAAGTTATAATAGCTAAGAAAAAGAAATTTACCTGACAGATGTTGGGTTTCAGACTCGTTTCCACTCTGAATGTAAGAAGAAAGAGAGAGATGTTAATAAAATTAATAATTGGAACTATTAACTGGTTGTTAGAAACCCATGTAAAGAATACGTTTCAAATAATGCAAAAAAGAAATTGGTCGGTGCTTGTATAAGTAAGATGTTGATGTAATTTTTGGGCACAGAACGCTAAAGAAAATAAATTTTAAACACATCATCATACTTTATCAGATTCTGATTTCCAATAGAGCGCTGCGACATTGAGATATGATAATGCCTTGCTAATCATATCATATTTTGTCCAAGTTTAAGAAAAAAATTATCCACTAAGAGCTACAAAAGCTTTTCTGTTGTGAATTAGATCAGGTGACAAAACAAAAAATTCAATAGTTTGGTGTCAAAGTTCAGGAAATTTTAATAATAAAGAGGATATTACAAAAATCAATAATACAATGACCAAACTTAGATCCAATCGGAGGTTGAATAAATACAGCAATTTAGCGAGCAGTTCATTCATTTAAACGTTTTAAAAAGCATATCAAACTCTAGCTAAATACAGAAATTCAGGAGTTCATTCATGGAAACATCTGAATATGCACGTCAAACACTAAACGGAAACTTTATATCATGATTGGATATTTAGCTTTCAAGGGAGTGTGTGGTGAAAGATCCCCAATGCAGGATCAGATGGGTTGATGCACAGCCGCCCTACGCCTAAGAAGATCCCCAATGCAGGATCAGATGGGTTGATGCACCGCCGCCCTACGCCTAAAAAAATTGTAAATATGCTTCAAAATGCAGCTACATATGATTTCCTCCAATCATGTCCTCCAGCAAAAAAATCATACCCAGTAGAATGTCAAACAAATGTTTGTGCAAAGAAACTCCACCAGAAAATGACATGATAATACAAGATCATGTCAAAGAGAAAAAAAATATATATGTCAAAAGTAGTTTGTGAATACAACCAAATCTACCAATTTTTGTTGTGGCGAACTTCAAAAAAACATTTTGTAATAGAGAGATTCAGAAAACAATTGAATTAAAACACTCAAATGCAAATACCAATTAATAAATTGAGTTCCAATTACTAACTTCATTTTATTTCACCAGTTCAAAAGTATCGAAAGTGGGGTCAGTTAGTGTGCTTCTCAATTCTTTACATACCAAACATTAAGTGTTATAAAAAAGGTATTAAAAGCTTCTCAAAATTAAGGTTTTGAAAATTGGACCACATATTAACTAGAATAATGTACAAAGCTCATAGGTTCAATAGAGATTCAATCAGGTTAAAGTGAAATGGAATAATAAATATTTCAATTATTTAATTATCATTTATATGATATAGGATTTCTAATAATGATAAATTAGATGATAAAAAAAATAAAAAATATTTCATCACATTTACAACATTAATAATAAAATTAGTCAAATAAATTTATAAAACAGTAAACTAATTTCTAAAACTAGTTCCCCAGTTCAATTTATAGTCAGAAAACCACTAAACTAACAAGGCTTTGGTAAACAAAATCTTGATACCATCAATTTTATAATAAATAAATCGATTTATTTTCATTTGCTCTCGAAGGAAAATCAATCCTAAGGCATCAGTGCGTGAATGAATTATAGCTGCACACAAAAAGATCTATGATTTTTTTTTTAAGATTACAAGTCATCTAAATGAACTGATAGTCTCCAAAACTAGTACGAATTCAACAATCTGACGGTTCAATAATTGGTTCTTATAATGTTTTCTAACCTTCACGCAATCTGGTTTTTTATAATTTAATCAAACAAACCAAAAGGGCTAATTCATGATCCAACTAGTCTAATACTTTTTAAATCGCTTGTCAAAATACACAAGAGAATATCTTCATAATTAGATCTTCGTGATATCTAAGTTGAGAAAAAAACAATAGATTGCGAAAAATTGTCAGCTTAAGAATACTCGAGTTTAAGGGAATTGGAATGTTTGTAAGGGTTTTCTGGCAGTAAAATTTAAGGAAAGATTAGATTTGAATTAATATAGAGGTTTTGAAGATAAAATTTAAAAGCTATTTTGATAGAATTTGTACAAAAAAAATTGGCTTAAGTTGGTAATGAATGATATTTGGTTAACGTCTAGAGCTAATTATGTGCCATGAGGAGTCTTGAGAAGATTCATTAACTATGATGGTTGGTGGCTTAAGAACAGGAAACAAAAAAATACTAACATCATTAATAGAAATCTTCATCACAGTGCAAGACATTGTCATTTTATGCGGTAATGATGAATATATAGACGAAATTGGGCTTAAATTCCAATTGATATATAGTCGTAAAGGAAGATAAGAAAAAAAAATATTAAATTTGATCAACAATTAGGAAGAAAAGATGATAAGAGAAAACCAGTCTGGCATGTCTTTTTTTATGCCTAATTTTTTTTTTATTTATCACATGTTTTTGAATGAAATTGCACTTTAAAGAAAGATTATTTTCATGTTTATCTTGCAGGTATAACACTTGGAGCTGAAACGGGACGAAACGAAAGCGAATGGGAGCAAATGGGGTGCTACCGGTAGGTTGGCGCCTAGGCGCCAGTTTCTGCCCAGAAAACAGAGAATACGGCGCCTAGGTGCATGAACTGTCCAGGGGCGATTTTTGCAAGCCTCCAGGAGTTATTTGACGAATCCAGATGGTTGGAAAAGACATTTTGGCATTTCTAAGTCCTAGAATTCTCCAGGAAAGTCAAGAGATCATAGATAGGAGTAGAAAATGTAGATTTTTACTTTCCTAGATAGATTGGAGAGGGAATTGAGAGATATTTGTACAAGAATTGTATCAGCATTGCCTGGAACAACAAGAGGCTTTGTTAGAGAGATTTTCATCTTTCTTTCAGAGGGAAGAAACTAAGTATTGTGTTCTTCATTGTCTTGTATTTATTGTAATCACTTATCTAGTGGATTTTCTTTGATTTAATGAAGTTTTCTGTTGTGTGTGACACCTGCTTTGTGAAGTAGAATTCTTGTACTTTTCTTTTGCAATCAATAGGATGAATGTTTAGGATGTTAAGATGCATGATAGAATAGGTTTTTCATATCAAAGTGATGGTTTGTACTTCATGTTTCATTTACTAATCAATTTGGTCAATTGGTATATTAAAACGTGTTGTAAACCCATAAGATTCGGGAGGGCTATTACTTTAACAACTAGGAGGAACCACATTGAATTTATGAGTGAAAAAAAAGTTGTCCAAAGATTTACTGCAACGGTAGATTCGGGAGGGCTATTACTTTAACAACTAGGAGGAATCACATTGAATTTATGAGTGAAAAAAAAGCTGTCCAAAGATTTAATGCAATGGTAGGGAGATATTTATTGATGGGTGCAAATTGGTGTTTCTAGGGTGACAGACTATATTCCTAAGCAATTTGATCTAGGGCTTCGTACGTTAAAACTAAGATTAGCCAATTTGAGAGCAATTAGGATTGAGACTCTGGGGTGATAGGCTAGAAGTGTTGTTGTTATAATCTAGCATTTAAGGAATCGAAAATAGGTTAGTCGAGCTTCTTTATACACTCGACAGAAAGTAAAGAAGAGGATTGTTCCTACTTGACACTTACTACTATTCTAAGCATCCCGCTCCTACTCATTATCTAAGTCACCACTAGAGAAAGTTTTTATATCTCAAAATTTACTAAACCAATTGATTTATTTAGGTTTAACTTTAGATTTAGGTTTGTATTTAGGAAAACACCCTTCATTGACGTTCCAAACTAACACCTGATAGTAGTAGACTAGAACTTAGTCTTAGGGATTTCTTACATTGCTTCTTTGTGGGATCGAAAATTGAGACTCCATTAAATTCCTATATTACTTGAACAATGTATATACTTATGTAGAACCCCTAGTGAGTAAACTATAAATCAAATTCAAAACTTCATAATATATCAATTTTGCTCACTAGCCACCTAAAGAAACTGGGTCAAGTTTTTTGCCAAGAAACTAAATAATTGCATAACTGCGGATCAGGTTAAGTTTTTGGTGTCGTTGTCGGGGAAGCTACGGTAATAACTTTAGGAGACTTTTAGTTGAACCTGGAAGACTTAGATTTGAAAATTATAGTGTTATTATCTAATGTGTTTATTTATTATGAGTTTATTTAAAAGAAAATCCAAAATACCAAAAATATTTTTTAGTGCTTGAAGTATTGTATATCTATCATATAAGTTTAAGTATTTAGAGTTGAATGTGTAGTTCACGTAATGCAGACCTTGAACTATACGACTCAGAACTAGAAAAAATTTTTAGGAGGATTAGAAAACCCTAAGAAGAAAAGTGGCGAGCAAGTGAAATATGTATAACCTTGGGATTCGTCGGGCTGACGACAATAAAGCAAGCGCTTCATGGGAGGCAACCCATAGGTTATCTATGTTAGTGTGTTTGTGAGTTGTAATTATTTGAGGTGCGATGTGTTTGTTTTAATATGGATTTATCAGTTTGATTGATGTTGGTAAATGTTTGGATTGTTAGTGGATTAATTTGATCTTTGTGTCTCATAAGTGAGGTGATTCTTTAACTTCTCGTTGTGATTAGATTTATAATTATTTTCTCGTAGTTGTTGGAATAACGAGTACATTACGACTCAGTTCTAAACCAAACTTGAGGATTAACTGGAGATATGATGAGTTTGGACATAGAATAGGTTCATCTAAATTATGTTACTTCCTTTATCTGACCTTATTTTCTTCAATATGGTTCAATAAACTAGTTGAAGAATAACCTGAGGAAGATCCTACACTATCCTTATAACTGTTAAAGGTGCATAATTAAAGAGATAAGGTGATGTGTGAGATTGGTGCTCGCGAGCCAATATATCAGAGATAAATAAAAGCATTTAAAAGTACCCAATTGATCAGTGATGTGATTCCGTTAGAACTGAAAATAAGGAAAGGAGGTGTGATGAGATGGAGAAAGAAATGATCTCATTTATGTATTGATGTTTGTGTATGCATTACTATAGTATAGAGGACTTGGAGAACATTAAAATATATATTCCTATGTTGATGCTTGTTATGCTAGCTAGACTTTTCTTTAGTTCAATTTCATTCTGGCATGTTTAGTTTATATTTATTATCTCCTGTACACTGTTTTGTTCTAAGTATATTTGTAAATATTTTATAGACACTTGTGGTAAATTTTACTTCTGGGCTGTGATTTTTCTTTCTGCTTATATTTTATGTATTGAATGGTATACATGTTAATGATCAAGTTTGGGGGAAAAAAATTTTTTAAAAGTTAACGTTATTTGTCCTCAATAATCTGTATTTAATTTGATATTACTTTTAAAATGACTTGTGTTATGTGGTGTCATCTTTAGGTTATTATAATTTTGATTTTAAGAATGTTAGAAAAAAAAAACTTAGATGGAATCCTATGTAAAGAAAACTTTTCTAGAGTTAAGACAATCTGTCAGAAATATTATGAAAATGATTTTGCAATTTATGGTAGAAAGATATTTAGAAAGCTAAGATTCTTAAGAAAATGATTTACACTTTCAGAGAATTTAGTCTTTATTGAAACATTTTTCAAACTAAAAAGTGAGGGAGAGTTTCAAGTTTTTAACTTTAAAAAGAGGATAGTGAAATCCAAAATTATTAAGAACCTATCTAGATATAGTAATCCTCACATGAAAATAGAAAAGATTGAAAAAAAAGATTCTAAAAGAAAAAGGAAGAAAAAGGAAAAAAAGCGCAAAGAAATGAAAAGTGAGGAGAAGCTTGAGAAGAAGTCTAATCAAAAATTGATTTCAATTGAATCTTTTTAAATTAAAAGACTTACAAACAATCCTAAACTTATTCTTATTTCAAAAAGTATTAGTCAAATTGGTATAGACAGGGTGCTTAAATTATGTTTTAAGCTTTCTAAAAATCTTTAATTTGACAAGTTTTAATAACTTTTGAAGTAAATAGAAAATCAGGATTCCTAAGTTTAATATGAGATATTCTTACACCCTAGTTCTAGGTTGATTTGCTAGAATTTCTCCTAAGTTATACTATAACATTTCTGAGACAAAATTATAGTAAACTCTACCGAAACCAACTACCTCAAATCAACAAACTTAATTTTTTAAAGTTATAGTGTTACTTGATAACATGTAACATTTAAGTTTGGAGGATTTTAATATATTTTTTTAATGCTTAATTTTTTTTACATTTATCATATGCTTTTGAATGAAATTGCACTTTAAAGAAATGTTATTTTCATGTTTATTTTACAAGTATAATGCTTAGAGCGGATTGGAGTTTAAATAGGGCGAAACTGGGACAAACGGGAGCAAATGGGGGTGTTGCCAGCAGAGTGGTGCCTAGGCACCAGTTTCCT